GCGCGAGCCCCGGCCTCCCCGGGGTGGGGTGGGGTGGGGAGGAGCGGCCCTCGGGGCCGGGACTCGGGCAGGGTCCGCGAGCCTCCAGCCCTCTCCCCGCCCCCCCCCACCCCGACCTACCGTGGAACTCGAAGTGGCCGATGCTCTGGCCCTGAGCGTCCCGGGCGGCGGCGCTGCTGAAGCTGCCCCGCAGGGTTTTACCATGGCTGCCCTGCGGCCACCAGCAGCACGTGAGGGCCACTGCCAGCAGCCGCAGTCCCCGCATCGCCTCACACCCGCACCCGGCTCCCAACCGCCTGCGGGCCGTCAGCCCCACGTCGGCAACCGGGGAGGGGGGGAGGGGGGCGGAGCCAACGCTGGACCCTCGGAGACTGATAGCCAATGAGGGGCGCTTCCTCTGCCACGAGCCAAGGATATTAACCAATCAGAGGCCGAAGAGGGTGGGACGGGCACCTCCGTGCGTCCCATCTCTCTCCTGTCTTCTGGCTAGTTCCCGCCTTTTTTAAATGGGGCAGCCGGAGGCTGTTGCTTCAGGTTACGGGAAAAACCATCACCTCGGTTGCCCTGCGGCTGGCCACTGCACAAAAGTGCAGGTGTGTGTGTGTGTGTGTGTGTGTTGAGGGGGGTTCTTCTCTTAGTTTATGGGATTCAGAAAGAAAACGCTCAAACTTGGAACCATGTGCTGATTTTTTCCTCCTCTACATCCAGATCACTTCAATGTGTCAAGGATATTTATTTTTAATTGTCAAGATGACGTACAGAGGGGTTACAGTTACATAAGGTAATAAGTACATTTCTTTCAAACTTGTTGCCCCTCCCCTCATTTTTCTCCTACTTTCCTTCCCCCCCCCCAATTGTACAGATAATTTCCAACATATTGTCTTGTGTATATAGCTGCTGCCTTGGTTCCCCCTTATCCTTTGTCTCATCAAGGATATGTTTTGAACATGACCAATGTTTAAATTTCTCTGCTTCTAAGTGATTTTTTCCTGCCTAGGTTTCCTGTCTTCTTGATTCCCAAACAGATCAGACAGGTGGGAACCATTCCTTTCTGGTAACCCCAGAGCTAAACAGCTCATGGACAACTATTTTGTGGCCTCGCTTCTGCTGGAAGGATGCAGTGGCCACATTCCTATTCCTTCCATCACTTACTAGGCCTTTGGTACCTGACTTCCCTTTGGTCTTAATTCTCTCAATTGACTACAACCCATCTCTTCCTTAGCCACAGAAAGCTGTTAGAAGTGCAATTAGACCACATCACTTTTCTTCAGAGATTCCCTTTAGAGATAGCCTTTAGTGCATATAGAGATAGAGATATCCTTTCAGAGATAGTCTATAGTGCATAACCAAACTCTTGACAGGCTCTCAGATCTTCCAAGTGTCCATCCTTACCTGTTGTCATTTCCTGAAATACTTCAACTTTTCTTCTGGAAGGTGATTTTGCAAATACTGGCTGGAGGTATTTGAACCACTCAACTTCTCTTCTTTTTCTCAGATTCTCAATTCTGTGTTAGTTGCCCCTGGAACCAGAATTCCTTACTTCCTTGTCAAGATATTATTGTAAATCAATATTGACTAATATGCATCCCTCACTATATTGGAAGTTCCAGTTGGTCAGAGATGGAGATTGGATTGATGAAAATATGAACTTAAAAAAATCATTTCACAAATATATGCACATTTTCATTCAACAATAAGCATTTATATAAGAAAAACAAATTCTCTCTACATACCTCCTGTCCTATAACCATCATTTTAGATTCTCTGGCTGACCAGGAATAGACTAGCGGCATTAATATTTGATCATTTTTTCAAATTTCACTGTTTTTTTTCCTCCCACAAGAGCAATTCATGCAGCTTACATAAGAAGTCATAGGCAAAAGTGTATAAAGTAAAATTTAGAGTAATAGCCTACTTCCTTATGTCATTGCATGTATCTAATACTGAAAGGTAATCCTTTTTTGATAGTGTAGAATAAGTCCTTTTACACAAGCCTTTATAAATACATGTGGTGTTAAACTAAATTTGGTCTGCATATGCCACTAGTGCTTTGAATTACTGCAAGGAACTGCAACCTAGCAGTATATAAACTAAGAACAATCCAGCAGGGAATGTATTCTAGCCCATAGCCAAATTTCTGTCAATCATAGGAGGCTAATGAATTAGGCTTTGTCCATATATGGCAGATGAATGCCTGAGTCTAGATAAGATAACCAGATGAATGCCCTTCTTCTCCATACCTCCACTATAAATACTACTCATGAAGCTCTCAACCTTCTGTTTCCCTTTTCAAGTTTTTTTTTTGCTCAAATTAGCTCTGTTTAATTTGTCTAAAGTTATTTTATACTGTTATATGAAAACCAAAGACAGGTATAAAATCGACCCTAATGAAGAAATAAAAATAAGCCTTGAATGCTATGAGTTCTCTCCTTCTTTCTTACTGAAAACAGGCATTTGGGTTCCTCAGTTCACTGCAAACAAGATGACTATGAACAATTTCTAAATGTGTAAGTCCTCAGAATTCAAGAACAGCAATCACTATAACCTTACATCAAGTTGAAATTTCTGGAAAGTTAAACTGGCCTAAGCTGAGTAGGGTGCCCATATGTGACCTTCCTGGAGTGAGCCCACTTAAGGAGATCACAAAGGGGTGAGGAAGACATGCGTCAGGAAAAGAGTATAAATATCTACTCCAATATATTTTGGTTCTCATTCTGTGATGTTTATATGTTTAAAGCTTATTCTATTTTAAAAGTTAGACAATCTTATAGATATTTGACTTCTGTCCCATTTTTCCTTATTAAACAACACAGCAATAAAAATGATCAATATTGTCCATAGTGGAATTTTGTCACCAGAGTATATGCATTTGAAATTGTCCTATGTACTACTACCTTCTCCTCAAAAAAAAATTGAAATAATGATGGGGTGTGGTGGCTAAGACAGGAGCCTGGCAACATAGCAAGGTAGTCTTAAAAAATAAAAGAGTTTCTCATTTCCAACTGTTCTGAATAATACTTCTGTTTAGGCTTTGCTGAGACATATCATGCAGAGAAAAAGATCTTTATCTGTTGGACAGTACTAGCTGATCATTTTTTCTGTTGTAGTAGAGATTTTGGATTAAATCAGGAAACAAAAAGCTCAGTCCAGGTGCAGAGACAACAAATAATTGCATCATCAACTCCTACATTGACTAGTATAAAGATAAATAAGGTTAAGATGGGTTTTCAGGGTAATGGGGAACTTGCTATTTTAATTGTGTGGTGAAAAAAGGTCTCTGATAGGAAGACATTAAACCTAGGACTGAATACTGGGAAACTAAGCAGGCATTTGAGGAAAAGGGGTAGGAAAATAGCATTCTTATCTAATTCAAAGAAGACCAAGGAGGACCAGGGGAGTGGGGCAGAGTGAGCAAAAGGATAGAGTGCATCATTATTATGATTACAAGTAGCATGTGCTGTCCATAATAGTATGAACAACAACAGTAAGAGTTAATTTTGCAATAGTGACTTCTCATTTCCACCCTGAAAGAAGAAAACCCCACAAAGGTTCCACGGTGCATAACCGCTAGAGATGGATGAAGTACAAGAAAGAAGTCACTCACTCTTAGTGTTGTACTTCTGTGAATCTAAGTACAGCTTAACCCACGTCAGAGACATCAGCTTATAAAATGCCCAATGCCTTGGGCAATCTCAATTGCTCCGGGCAAACCAGTCTTAGGCCAAAAGGACTTGCGCCTGCGCAGGAAGACTCCATCAGCCCCGCCCCCAAAGTGGGCGTGGAAAATTGGCGAAGGCCCCACCTTCCGGAAGTGGCGGCCAAGTTCCCTGTAACGTGTCAGGGAAGGGAGGCGAGTCGCAAAACGTCGTGGTGGGGGCTTCACTGCGGTCCTCAGGCCTCGCGCGCTTTACGGCACCGAGCGCTGCCGAGCTGGGCTACGTCGATGGCGGTCGGGGCGGAACCCGGGGGCCCTGACAGCTTTGCGAAGCGGGTCCTGGTGACCGGCGGTGCTGGCTTCATGTAGGTACCGACGCCGCTGGCCAAGCAGATTCTCCTCAGGAAGGCCGAACTTGCCCCCAGCGCTGTTGCCTGCCTCGGGGGAGGGGGTTGTCTGACTTGGGGAGGGTGCTCGCGCGCCCCCACTTCCCCCCACCCCTTGCCCCGCCAGACGCGATCCGTTTGCAACTTCTTTAAGACGAGTCCTTTCCAAAGCCAGGGTGTTGGGGGTGCTGTCCCCGCCCCCGCCTGGCGCCAGGTGCCCCGTCACCCCTGGTCACTTCTTGGGGTGCGCGCGTGTGACGGAAATCCCCACCCCTAAAAGGAGCCTCGGGCCAGCACTGCGTCCAGGCCTTGATGGGTGGATACCTCCCGCACCCCACAGCCATCTCCTAGGACATGCATCATTCAGCTTATGTAAAAACCCAGTGACCCCCCCCCCCAAGATGCTCGCTGCCTCCTGCTCGGACCCACGTGCGAGCAGCCAATCCTGTCCGTTTCCAGAGCACATCCTTCAGGCGACCAGGGCTCACCAGCCTTCTCCACCCGCGCTGCCTTTTGTCTGCAATAAGACTGTAGCATCCCGGTGGCATTCTGTTCCCTCAAGGTTGTTCTGCTTCTCAGACTGGTCAACGTTTGTGTAACTCATGCGAATGCACGGTGGGGTCTCCTCCCAGACTTAACTCCAGACTCTCCTGCACCTAGAAGATGCAAGTGTCTAACTGCTGTTTCCAACCTGATTGCTCTTCTTTTCTGTGCCTGCTACCTTTTACCCTCTTAAGTTCTTGGAACACACCTGGCTAGTGGCCACCCCCTTCTTGAGCGCTTTGTAGGCCTGTCCTTTATCATCTTTTTGCATTGCTGAATTCAGCTTTTTACTCACATCCACCTACCTCTGCAGTGTCCTTATCTGACTGAATACATTATATATAGAACACACACACACACACACACACACACACAGCCTAGCTCTCTGTTAACAGGCTCAACTTCTTCCTGATATTACACATATTTGTATATTGCTCTTTTGTATTTGTGTGGTCATTGCCTGCATCTCCATTGTAGAATGTAAACTCCAGGAGGGCAGACACTTTGGTTCACTAAGTACCTGAAAGAATGCCTGGCCCATTTTATGAAGATCTTCAGTAATTATTGAATAGATAAATGCTTGCATAACAAGCAGGACACTTTCCTACTCTCAAGGAACTCAGTGTCTAGAAGAGGAAGGGATGTGGGATTCCTGTTTTTTCCCCACTAATCCATTAGCTCATTGCTTCTAATCTGACAGTCATTTGTGGAAGAGTATCAGACAGGCTAGTTCCATCAAATAAGAGGATTTTTAAAAAAGGACATTAAAGTGTGTTACTTGTGTGAGAATGCTGATCTAGGTGGACTGTTTGTCAAAGGTCTTCCAGGTACAGGCTCAGAATTCATAATTTATCTGGTCAGGGTTTACCCTTCTCCTGGAAGCCCAATGCTTAAATGTTTGACAATCTAGTAGTTGACTTCATTGAGCCTTTGGTTGCATTTCCAAGTGTTCTGAAGCCTAGCAGCCTCTGCGGATAGCCAACTCAGGATAGTTTGGATCATTAGCTTGGAAATCTTTCCTGAGGATTCTGATTTGCATTGCCAAACTGTCATACCAAGAGATAGCCATTGCAGAAGTTACTCTAAACCTAGACAAATGACTATTCAACCTAATTAACATTTTATACAATTGTATCTGCAGTTCCTGAAAGGCATGGTGTAATTTCAGTGCAGTTGTTTTGACTAGCACACTCATGCATTGATAGGATGACTAGGTTGATAGCAACATAGGGTCAAGCAACTATTTCTTTATACCCAGTATACCCCATTCTTTCTCCCAAATGGTTTAAAGCGAGTATAAGAGTTAGTTTATAGATACTATTGAAAGTTGGGTAAAAAATGTTGAGTTTTTTTGGGGGGGAGTGGTTACCTTATTTCTGTTATTTTGGAAAAGTTAAATTTATCTTCTGATACTCACCAGCTTAGGAAAGCACTCAAGAATATAGAGAGGTAAAAGTTTTCTACTCCCACAATCTACTTTTTTCTTACAGTGCATCACATGTGATTGTCTCCTTAGTAGAAGATTATCCAAATTATATGATCATAAATCTAGACAAGGTGAGTTTTATAAAAATGAACCATGCATTGAAGTTACGTTTCAATTGAATTATATTTTCAGGATCCTGTTATTTATTTAGTTATGCTAGCTACTTATGGATCTTTATAGTATGTGCTCATGATGTAGTAAAACTCACGTAAGATCTTTCTAAACTAGCATGTATTAGTCCACAAAGTTGAGTTCTTTTTCCTTCCTTCCTTCCTTCCTTCCTTCCTTCCTTCCTTCCTTCCTTCCTACTTCCCTCCCTCCTTCCCTTCTTCCCTCTCCCTCCCTCCCTCCCTCCCCCCTCCTCCCCCTCTCTCTCTTCCTTTCTTTCTTTCCTTTCTGTCTGAATCAAACCCAGGCTGGGAATGTGACTTAGTGGTAGAGTGCTTGCCTAACATTGATGAAGCCCTGGGTTTGATTCCTCAGTACCACACAAACAGAAAAAGCTGGAAGTGGTGCTGTGGCTCAAGTGGTAGAGAGCTAGCCTTGAGATAAAGAAGCTCAAGGACAGTGGCCAGGCCCTGAGTTCAAGCCCCAGGACTGGCAAAATAACAATAATAACAATAATAGTAGTAGTAGTAGTAGTAACAATAAAAATAAAAGAATTAAAGCCTTGGCCTTGTCTGTGGTAGACAAATGTTTTAACACAGAGCTATATTTCCGTAGTCCTTGCTATTTTGAAGCAGTGTCTCACTGTGTAGCTCAGGCTGGCCTGAAACTTCAGATCCTACTGCTTCTACTTAATGAGTTCTGAGATTAAAGACATATGTCACCATTGCCAGCAGACCAAGGTTTTGTGTCCTCCCCCCTTGTTTTCTTGTTTGTTTTGTTTATTTGCTTGTTTGAACTAGAGATCAAACTCAGAGCCTTGTGCTTGCTAGATAAGTGCTCTACCACTTTAGGCACATCTCCCAATCCTTTTAGTTTATTTTTCAAATATGATCTTGTGCTTCTGCCTAGTGCTGTCCTCAAATATTGATACCCCTATCTCTGCTTCCCAAATATTTAGGATTACAGGCATGTGCCACCATGCCAAACCCAAGTGCAGCCTTTAAAAAAATATATCAATCATGCAACAAACAAAAACAGGTCCACCCTTTCTAAATTCAACATTTAATGTAACCTTGTAGTTACTGGTGTTATACTGGGAGCTAGTATAATTTGATATTGTTCTGTATTCTTTTTGGTCTGAAAGGTTTTGTTTTTACTATTTTTATAACTTTCTGGAATATTATGTGTTTTTTTAAAAATGTAATACAATTAATTTGTTTTTGAGAATTAGCAATAATTGGAGTCTCCCTGAAGAACGTGATAGCTAAGATTAGTAGTCACTATGTTTTTGGATGTAAAAGATTATACAAATGGTTACTTTAATTTTATTAGTGGTAACTTTCCTAGCTCCCAATAGCTGCAGGCATATTTTGGCAGGAGCATTTTTAAGTAGAGTTTTAGTAAAAGGTTAGTTTGGAGAGTTATTTGTTTGATATTTTGAAAAGCTAAGAAAAATTACTTCCTTAAACTTTTAAGATGTCAACTTTAAAATGTATAAAAATACAACAAACACACATTGATTTTCCAGCCTTCATCATCTGTAGTCTTAAATAAAATAAATTCTATTTTATAGGAAAATCTAATGTTATGGCTTTTTTGTGTTCCCCTTTCCCCATTCTCTTACTTTTAGCTGGATTATTGTGCAAGTCTGAAGAATCTTGAAGCCATTTCTAGCAAACAAAACTACAAATTTATACAGGTGTGCAAAATTTTATAACTATTGTACTGTGTCCTTTTAGTCATGAAGAAATAATGTTTATAAATTATAAGGTATACTTACTTACTGAAGTCCTTTTCAAGGTTCAGGAAGTCATTGCTAAAAGTAGCACATGCTGTAGAGAATTTTACTTTTGGTTTGACATTAAAGATGAAGCTATGATTTGTTGTTTTTTGTTGATACATTAGCAAATTCATGCATACTAGCAGAATTTGCCTGGTTTGTGACTTTGGGTCCTCACTGGCCTCTTTTAATAATGCCTTCCCCAACAAATGATATGAAGTACAGTGTCACTCTGAAACATCAACCATCAGGGAAGCTGGCAGGACAGTCTTCCTTAGGAAGGCCATTGCCCTTGGACAGCTGACTCTTACCAATTTCTCTTAGGTAAGTCCAAAGGGTAAACCACAGAGCTGGGCCCTTCACTTGCAGAGAGGGAAGCAATACTGTCCCTTGAAACTATGTTATGATGTATGATTTTTCCCCCAAGAATATAATTCTATAAACTCTTTATATAACTGTAAAACTTAATATATTAAAATTTAATGTTAAAGTGTTTTCCTCAGTTACTGAAGATTTGTTGAGAATGTGTATTTTAAGAAAAACACGTTGTCCATATAAACATTAAATGTACCATAATTTTACTTACTTGAGATAAAATATGCATGTTATTAGACTTAGTTTAAATATATTTCAGTAACGTTCTTTCAAAGGTTTTTGTGTTTTAATGTTAAAAATTTTCCTAGCTGGGTGCTGATAGCTCATATCTGTAATCCTAGCTACTCAAGAGACTGATATCTGAGGATTATGGTTTGAGTCTAGCTTGGGCAGGAAAGTCAATGCAATTCTTATCTCAAATTAACCATCAAAAAGTTGGAAATAGAGCTCTGCCTCACGTGGTAGAGCACCAGCCTTGAACAAAATACTAAAGAACAGTACCCAGACCCTAAGTTCAAACCCTAGTACTGCCACAGTACTTGGGTTCCTTACTGATGTAGCAGTCTTATAAAAATGTGCTATAGGGCTGGGAAGGTAGCTCAGTGGTAGAGCGCTTGCCTTGCATGCTCGAGGCCCTGGGTTCGATTCCTCAGCACCACATAAGCAAAAAGAAAACAGCCGGAAGTGGCACTGTGGCTCAAGTGGTAGAGCACTAGCCTTGAGCTGAAGAGCTGAGGGACAGTGCCCAAGCCCAGAGTTCAGGCCTCATGACCGGACCCAAAAAAAAAAAAATGTGCTATAACTTGCTCAGCCTCGTGGTTTATGCTTGTAGTCCTAGTTAAACTGAGGTCTAAAGATCTTGGTTCAAAGCCAAAACAAGAAGACAAATACAAGAGGCTCTTATCTCCAATTAACCAGCAAATAGCTGCAAGTGGAGGCATGACTCAAGTGGTAGGACACTAGCCATGAGTGGAAAATCAGAGCAAGATTGAGAGGCCCTAAGTTCAAACCCCAGTATCAGCAAACATGCATGTGTGTGTGTACTCACATATACACACACATACACACAATTGTGATAAAACTAGTAGTTGTTGCTCAATATAATTTTACATTTATTTGCAACAATTTTTGGATTAACTTTCATATATTCTGAGGTACTGGATAAACACCACATTTACTATATCTGCCTGTCTACTTCGCTGAATTTTCAAGATATTCTGTATTGAAATAGGAAGTAGGAAAAGGGGGATATGAAATAAGAATGGCTATTGTGAATGAGAATGTACCAGGAAACTTTTTCATGTTTGTTTGTCTTTTCCATATAGGGCGACATATGTGATTTGCCCTTTGTAAAGCTGCTCTTTGAAACAGAGCAGATAGATATAGTTCTACACTTTGCTGCACAAACACACGTAGGTAAGCACTGTTTTATGTTGTAGTCATGATTGGCAGATTAATCTCTTTGAGGCAGAAGTCTAAAGTCCGGTAATGGCACTGAATGAATGGGTAACTTAATGCATACCTTTGAAAGAAGATGTGCTGTAAACTAGATTCTGGTCACTGGTCTACTTGGCATTTTAAAATTATTTTTATGAATGCAGGTTGAAATATAATTTTTGATAGATATATCTTACAACTTGGAGTTAAACCAGATTTAAACTAGGGAGGGAGAAGCATGAGGAAATGGGTCTTAAACTGTTTTTTTAAATTATCTGTTCTATTTTTTGTGCATTTGCAATATTTTTGATAATTTTCTTAATATTGTGGAAGATCACGTATATTCTGAAGAATTCAGAAATGTAGTTAAATAAAAAAAGTGATAGTGTGTATACCTGAGTAGCCATCACTGAAGCAAAGCAGGAAATTGAAAGTTGCTGAGTCCTTGGTAGTCTGTACCAAGTACCTACTGATTGGTATCATTCCCTTTGCATTTTGTTATAGTGTGGCTGCCTACATCTTTTCCTCTAAACATTATAGTTTAGTCTGGACTATTTTTTGAATTAAAAAAAATAAACACATATGAACTAGTATGTAGATTTACTTTGGTCTTAAAAAAAAATCTTAGACTCATCCAGATAGGTGTAGATAGAATTTGTTCATTTTTCAGTGTTGGGTACTATCTCAATTTAAGAATGTACTGCAGCTTTCTTATGTATTTTTACTCTTGATGGATAGTTGAATTCATAAACATTTGAGGAACTTTAAATAATAGCCACCTATGTACCATTGTACTCATACATACACCTTATTTTTCTAATAGGGCTGTAGCAGATGGCTTTATATTAAATGATATTGGGGAAAGATATGAATAATATTTCTAGTATATTTGGTATTTGCTTTGTACCTGAGTCCCTTGAATTGTTCTAGCTGTTTTCTCATTTATCTATTTATTTATTTTAGATCTTTCATTTGTCCGAGCTTTTGAGTTTACATATGTTAATGTCTATGGCACTCATGTTTTGGTAAGTGCTGCTCATGAAGCCAGAGTTGAGAAATTTATTTACATCAGCACAGATGAAGTATACGGAGGCAGTGTTGATCAGGTAAGCTTAGGGAAAACAGTCTACAAGCCATATCACCCTGTAGCAAGGGATCTCCTTTAACCTTGAAAGCTAAGCAGGGTCAGGGGGGGTTAGAAACTTGAATAGAAGAAAATATATATTCCACCTACTGAGCAAGTAGACTAAACCCATACTGGATTGTTTCTGTGCTCTACTTATGTGCTTGGGGACACTCCAAAATGTTATTCATTGTCTCTTCTTTTAAAAATTAGGAATTTGATGAGTCTTCACCCAAGCAGCCTACAAATCCTTACGCATCATCTAAGGCGGCTGCTGAATGTTTTGTACAGTCATATTGGGAACAACACAAGGTAAGAACTGATTTCTGAAATTCACTAACCACTTACTTTGGACTTATGTGCTAAAATTGCAAGTACTTTTATTTTTGGAATAGAAGACATAGCTTGAGAAAATTTACATATTAAGGAATTTAAAATACTGATTTCTTATACTATGTGGACAACATAGGACCTACCTCTTATGACTCAGTTTATCATTAAAGCAATATTTTGAATATATATTTTTCCCATTTCAGTACTAGGTAGAATGTTACAGCTATAGTGAAAAGCCCTGTTGGATTCCTATGAGTGGAGGAAGACAGAGGGTGGACAGATTTCCTTTCCTGCCGTGTGCTTCTGTCTGCATCATTCAGCATTCTTGACTCCTCGTGAATGGGAGGTAGACTTGCCCCGGTGGCTCTGAGTGTCCATGTGGGAGCCTGGCCCAATGAAACCCCCACGTTTGGCTTCCCACTGATCATCATTAGCTATTAGGATCTGGGTCAGAAAGGCAGGCCAAGAGCATCTACAAGGTTCTCTCACCATTTTTGTCCTAGTGGCATTGGTCCTCTTCCATTTGAAGTAGTTCTTTTATATATAAGCATTGATATGACAGAGACAGGGCCAACTTGAGGGCTAGCCCCTATGCAGACTTAGAGAACTAGAGGGAGCCTCTGAAATGAGCAATTAGAAGGTCCTCGGTACTCTATCAAGCTTATTTACAAACTTGCCTTTCCTTGCTCCAGTAAAGAGGAGCCTTTTTTGGGGGAGCCTTTATCTGAACTCCATCTTCTTCTGTCTTTTCCCTGCTTCCCTCCCGGCTTCCTCTGCCCTCCTACTCTCCTTCCTCTTTCTTTCCTTTCCTTCCTTCCTTTACTTTCCTTTGTCACTCTCTACTGCCCTCCCCTACCTCACTGTCACTTTTAGCTCTCTTGCTATCTTTCCAGACAGGGTCCCATTGGGCATCCCAGGCTTAGCTTGTATTCACAGTCCCTTTCCCCTTGAAGAGACCTTTTCTAATGTAAGGTTCCTAAAAACACAAGAGCTGAATGTGATGGCCCATGACTATCATCCAAGCATTTGGAAGGATAATAAAAATCCAGACAAATCAGGTTGAATACTAGTCTGAGAAAAGTTAGCACAAGATCCTATTTGAAAAACAAATTAAAAAAACAAAAACCTTGAGAACTTCAAACAAAAAAACCCTCTCCTTAAAAATGTGCAGAATTATTTAGGTGACAGTACCTATTGTTTAAACCTCTGCAGATCTTCAAAATAATCATTGTTGGATTTTTTCATTACATTAATGTTGAATTTCACTCTTTTAAGTTTCCAGTTGTCATTACAAGAATCAGTAATGTTTATGGACCACATCAATATCCAGAAAAGGTAAATTTTACTTCTGAATCCATAGTGGGTTTTAGTGATTGTAATCTCTTAATATTTAAAATAATCCCTTTTAAATTACTTGTCTAAATAATTATGTTGTAATTATAGGTTCTTCATAGGCTATATGCAAGTCTCATCAGACTTAGTGTTTAAAGGCTTGAGGTTAAATATCAGTTTGACAGTAGCTGGCACGATTGTAGGCCCTTTGAGCATCTTTGAATAGTGGAATAATGAAAATGCTTAGAAAAGCATTGGAAGGATCCAGTGAGATGATGTACTAGCAGATGCTTTTTCTTTGGGGGACTGAAATGCCAGAGAGGAGTCCCACCACTGCTGCTATGCTGCAGTTAAGACTGCAGTCAGATCTATATATCTCAATGGACAGAAAGTTCAGAGCTCCTTAGGCAGTGATGTGGGAAGCTAGTACATAAATTTGTCTTGCTGTCAGATGGTTAACTGTACCACAACTCATCTTTATTGTTATATGGCTGAATGGCCTCAGAAAGCCAAACAAGCAGGAGATAGGAAAAGTAGTTAAGTGACTGAAAGTGCCTATGCAGTTGGTCCTTTGCCACAAGTCCGGTTCTAGATAACTGTGACTGCTCTGCTTATATTTGGAGGCTTAGTTTTCTTACTTCACAGGTGATTGCTTTCACGTATTTGTCCAAACAGGAGACCCTCATCATATTTACATTGCTTTATATTTACATTGCTAAGGATTTAGCAAGTATAAAATAAATATAGTAATTTCTTATTTTCCCTTTAACATAAAATTATCTGTAAGTCCAAGGGCACTTGACTCTATAAAGTACAAGTCATATATAAAGTGAGAAGTAAGATAATATTCTTACCTTATGTGAGGAATCAGCAAAGAGAGGACAGTGAGCATCCTATGAAGACTTCCTCTGATTTCTCCTTCATTTATGTAATTTTATCTGTAGATAATCCACTTTTTATACAATAAACTACCTGAGAGTTCTTTTGCTAATCAAATACTATGAGCTCTTTCATGGATTCATGACTAAAAAGAACTAGAATTTATCTCTAATCTTCTGAATTTAGATTCATATTAGTGAGTGATTTCCAATGTTGGAAAGGTTATTCCAATATTTTTTTATTTCAGGTTATTCCAAAATTTATATCTTTATTACAACACAACAGGAAATGGTATGTTATCACTTGCTTTTTCACTGCTGTGTTTTCTGGTCTGTTGAAAGTATTGGGTAATAGCATTTCATAAAAGTCATAGAGCTTTGGAGCTGGAGGCCATGGACTTGAATGTCCCACAAAATTTAAAAATCTTTTCATGTAATGTGATATTTTTTAGGTAATTATAATCCATAGTTCATCATTTTAATTTAATAAGATAATTTCAACTCTTAATGACCTGTCATTGAATTTTGAGTTACAACGTTTAAGTTTAGCATCAATCTTTATATAATTTTCCTAGTCTCAAAGGATTAATTCGTAGAACTGTGGCTAGTTCTTCAAGATGGATTTACAGAATGAAGTTGAGAAGTATTCATTGTGGTTCACATTTGCCAATTATTGAGTAGACCGAGAAAGTTTGCAGAGATACAGTATACAAAAACTATGAGAATTTGTGGTTTCAGTAAGATTGCTAAGCTCCTTGTGGTAACTAGTTCTCAGAGCTGTACCAGTCTTGTTTTATCCTACTCTGGGAGAGCTTAATGTTTCACACTTTCCAATTCTGCTTTGTTCTTTAGCTGCATCCATGGCTCAGGGCTTCAAAGAAGAAATTTCCTCTATGCCACCGACGTAGTAGAAGCACTTCTCACTGTCCTCAGAAAGGGAAAGCCAGGCGAAGTTTATAACATTGGAACCAATTTTGAAATGTCAGTTGTCCAGCTTGCCAAAGAACTAATACATCTGGTATGTAACTCTTTCAGAGGGAGATACATGAAAACTGTCAAGAAGTCAGTGACAGTAAGCGCAAGGTTATTCAGTATCAGTAGTTTGCAGTTTACTAAATTTAAAAATGGAAAGTAGAATTTATAATTACATGTCCTACTTGTATTTTCATTGGTAATTCTTTTAGTAGTCACTCCTTGCAAGAAACAAATTCACTAATGTACACGTCCATATTGTGAGATGTACTCACTGTCAGAAATACAAAATTGTGTATTTTAGAATCAAAGCACATGACATATAAAACAATTAGGAGCATATGTGTGTACATATATATATATATACACACACACACACACACACATATATATATATATA